GGCCAGGGAGGGCGGGCGGGAAGTTTGGCTTCCTCCATCACTGGGGCAACCAAGCCTCCTGCTTGCTTCAGCTCGGTGGCTGCCAGCCGCCATCTTGGTTGGGTTAATTTGCATATAGTCTCTCTGATTGGCTGGTAGGCGTGGCTTGGGGCATAGCGAAGGTACGGTCAATTTGCATGTTTGTCTTTTATTAGTGTAGATATGTGGATGCATAAACATGCACCAATCACAACTTGTGATTTAGCTTGATGAGCTGGAACCCAGAGGTACAGCATTATCAGCGCCCAAGAAGCCCCTCGTGCCTCCTCCCCATCACTGTGCCCTCCGTCCCTCCTCGAGGTAATCACTATCCAGGCCTTTAAAAACTCAGATCCGTGTTTTCCTGTTTGGAACTCTGCACATGGACTCATACAGTATGTGTGTTTTGTTTGTTTGTTTAGCTTCTTAACCTTACGTTTGTGAGAAAGATCTGTTGCTGAAGCAGTCCTTTATGAATTTTCATTACTGCATAGTATCCTATTGTATAACTAGACCACAATTTATACTATTCTAATTGATTGATTGATTATTGAATGGTTAACCCATTCAATGAATTCTTGGAAAAAACCCAACTTGACCTGATGTTTTATCTTTTTTTTATATTGATGGATTCAGTTTGATGATATTTTATTCTCTCTTTGATCTCTGTGCTTATGACTGTGATTGGTTTGTTTTTCTTCTTTGCCATGTTCTTTTCAGGTTTTGGTATCAAGGTTATGCTGGCTTCTTTTATCCTCCATGTGTACTTTTACTTTAAAAAATCTGTATTTCAGCCTGGCTATTTTTTTTGACCTATCTCTTAATTCATGAATCCTCTCTTTAGCTGTCTCTCATTTACTGTTACATTTATTAATTAAGTTCTTTTTTTTTTATTGTCTACAGTTTTACATATGTCTCCTTTTTCCCCAATTGACACCCCCCATATTAGTTAAGTTCTTAATTCCAGTCCAAGCATTTTTAAATCATAGCATTTTCTTTTTTCTTTCTATGCTTTCATGTTGTCCACTGAGGGTCTGCATATAGCCATATACATTTATTAATTAGATGTAGTTCAAGTCCATCGCTGATAACGTCTGTGGGACTGTCCCTTTATCTGTGTTTCCTGTTGGTTGTCAGTTATTTGTTCATGCCTTTTGGAGCCTCAGGGAGTTTGGGCTGAACACGGAGGATTGTGTGTAAACGTAGTTGCGATCCCTGGATGCTTTGGGAGGCAGTAGACGTTAGAGTCATTTACCTTAATCCACGCAGGTATCAAGGCATCAGTGTCTGGGCCTCCGGATTTGTGAGGCTGCAATCCCAAGGGCAGCTCTTTGCACACCTCAGCTGAAATTCTGGGCCACCTGTCGGCGCCTCTCTCACCTCTCTTCCTTAAAGGGCCCTTCACCCTGACTTTTGTCCCTGTACTTTTAAGACTAACAGAAGTAGTTTAGCTTCTCAGAATTCTCGAGAAACGAAAACTACCTGGAGGGGAAAAGCAGAATCAGTGCCAATGCCAGACTCCCCCCCCTTCTCACGTCTTTTCCTTTTCCCTTTCTTTCTAGGACATTGGCTTCTTCGGTGTCTGCTGCCTTGGTTTGATAGGTCTTCAAACACACACACACATATGGACACATGCACACACACACATGCACACACGCACACACTCATGCACATGCGCGCACGCACACACACACACACACATGCACACGCACGTGCGCGCTTTGACGATTCCTTAGTTGTTCCCTGTCGGGGTGGGTGTTGGCTGTATTACACAGCTCCACTGCAGGCAGAGATCTTTGAAAATCTGCTTTTCACATTCCAAATGCATGGCTCCTTCTAACGCCAGGCTGGCGGCCGGACACGCTTCCGAGAACCAGTCTGGAGAAGCCCAAGTTGTGTTTCTGATTTCAGAAAGCACATCCGCTTGAACTCAAAGCTTCGGGCACTTTACTTCTTCATCCCCAGGCTCACACGCCCTTTCTTGTTCCGCAGTCACCTCCGCCTGCGCAAGGCGTGCGGAAGCGGCCCACAGTCCGGATCTGCGCTCAGGGCGACTCGGCAGGTGTTCCCCAGAACCCACAGGGGAGCCTGTGGACACCCTGCCTGTTGAGCCACGCGCCCAGGCCCCAGGCTGTCCGTGACTTTGGAGTCGCTCTTTGTGCTTCGAGCTCTGGCAGCACCCGGGGAAGGCTGTCTGTGGGCGCTGACTTTCCCCCTGACTTTCTGATGGTTTCCTTTGTCAACATGACCAACTAGTTGTGACTCAGAGTCATGGCATCTTCAGAATGACACACGCAGAGGCTCAGACCCGCACCCTTTTAAATGCAGCCTCATTAAAGGGAGGTGCTGAGCCTTGCAAATGCTGGGAATAGCGCCGAGTCCTCCACTCAAGGCGTTTAGCACACACGGCAGGACTCATTGCTAAGACAGCACGGGAGCTGCCTAAGGGGCCATTCTAAAAGAACTGCCGTTTCCACTCGCAATGACACATCTGATAAGGGCTGATATGGGAAACTTATAAAGAACTTATAAAGCTCAACATCAAAAAAACAAACAGTCCAGTTAAAAAATGGGCAAAGGACCTGAACAGACACTTCTCTAAAGAGGACACACAGATGGCCAATAGACACATGAAAAGATGCTCAATCACCAGAGAGATGCAAATAAAAACCACCATGAAATATCTCCTCACACCTGTCAGAATGGCCATCATCAACAAATCAACAAACAGCAAGTGTTAGTGAGCACGTGGAGATAAGGGGGCCCTCGTGCACTGCTGGTGGGAATGCAGACTGGGGCAGCCACTGTGGAAGACGGCATGGAGTTTCCTCAAGAAATTAAAACTGGAGCTGTCTTACGAGCCAGTGATTCCACTTCTGGGAATATATCTGAAGAAACAAGAAACACTAATTTGAAAGAATATATGCCCCTCCCACCCCCTATGTTCATTGCAGCCTTATTTACAACAGCCCAGGTGCCCATCGGTAGATGAGTGGATAAAAAAGCTGTGGTACATTTACACAATGGCATACTATTGGGCCATAAAAAAAAAATCTTACCTTTTGTGACAGCATGGATGGGTCTGGCAAACATTATGCTGAGTGAAATAAGCCAGTCAGAGACAGACAAGTGCCATATGATGTCACATATATGTGGAATCTAACGAACAAAATAAAGCGACAACACAACAAAAAGAAACAGACTCATAGAGAACAGGCTGGCCGCTGTCAGAGGGAAGGGGCTTGGGGAGCTGGGTGAAAAAGGTGAAAGGATGAAGCCAAAAACCTCCCCAAACTCACAGACACAGACAACAGCGGGGTGGTTCCCAGGGGGCAAGGTGGGGGGGAGGGAGAGGAGGTGCCGAGGGGAGAAACGGTGATGGAAGGTGACTTGACTTGGGGTGGTGAACACACCGTACAATGCACAATGATGTATTACTAGAGAATTGTACACCTGAAACCTATATAATTTTATTAACTAATGTCACTTCAATAAATTCAATAAAAATTATAAAAGAAATAAATGGTAAAGTACAGTATGTCTTACAGTGACAAGCCCAAGAGCCGAGAATGACTTTGATCTTTAAGGGGCTCATGAACAGGGCAGAGCACCTGCAGAGCTCTATTCCCATATTCAAATGTCGGGAGGGACCCAGCGGCGCTCAGGCCTGCGGGCGTTGGCCCTCTACCCCAGGGAGGCCGGGAGGAGGCTAATTCCATCCAACTCTTTACAAACTTTTTACGGCGCGAAGCCAGCGTTCTTCCCTCTCTGGTAACCAGCGAACTGGAGTCTTGCTCAAGCCTTGCTTTTCCAGCGGGGCCTGAACCCATCATTACAGACACGATTTGTGAAGAAAGAAAGACAGTGGAACCCAAAGAAAGAGTGTTTTGCTCCTGAATGAAACCTGTGGCTGCTGCCGCCTCATGTTACCTTGGTGAAGGGGGATCCACCTGTCTCCTCCCGCTCCCTGCCACCCCAGGCCTGTACCTCTTCTTTTTAAAAAAATATATTTTCTTGATGTCAGAGAGAAAGGGAGAGAGAGAGAGATAGAAACATCAATGATGAGAGAACCATTGATTGGCTGCCTCCTGCACGCCCCACATTGGGGATTGAGCCTGCAACCTGGGTGTGTGCCCTGACGGGGAATTGAACCTTGACCTCCTGGTTCATAGGTCAATGCTCAACCACTGCGCCACGCGGCCGGGCTTGTGCCCCTTCTTCATAGTGACCGGTAACCCTCCAGAGTCATCGGTGGGCAGCCTGCTTGTCTGCTCTGTCCCGGGAGCTGCTAGAGGCTCACAGACAGCGCAGGGACGTGGTCAGGGCTGTGGTAAGAGACGTTCAAAGGAGATGCATAACTGTGCGACCTGCACCCCCATGGACTCTGTCCCTCTCAACAGCACGTGGGTGTTTGTCCCTCCTCTGACCCTAAGGGGCCAGGTCATGGGAAGAAGTAGCCTTCATGGTGCATGAAGGCTCACAGGCCAGGAATGCAGGTCTGTGGTGGTTCCAGCAGCTGCCCCTCACTCTTCCTCCCCGCTTCCATGGCGACCACAGGCATCGCTTGTCCTGTGACAGGTCTGTCCACAGAGTCCAAGGAGATCTCGCACCAGCGTGAAGTCTATTGAGCCAAAAGTGAGTTTGACCTCATTAGCCGCCTACTTGCACCGAGTCCGAGGAATGATAAGTGAAGTGGCATGTACTCAGCGCCTGAGCTCAGAAACAGCACAAACCTGCAGCGCAGCATCTCCTGTGTCCCTCCCACGCTCACCCAGTGTGACCACGTCTCCTGAACGCTGTGTTCACCATTCACCCAATTTTCTTCTAACCCCACGTGGGCCCTCAGCAAGGTGAGTGGGAGACTTGGGCACAGAGACACACGGGGCGGGGGCGCCTTGATGGAGGCAGGGCCTGGAGTGATGTGTCTGTGAGTGAGGACCACCGAGGACGGGAGGGGGAGGTGGGAGGAGGGGGGAGGGTGAGAACCGAAGACCTGGGCAGGGGGAGCACTGAGGATGGGGGGGTATCACTGAAGACCTGGGGGGGAGCCCCAAGGATGGGGGGAAGAGCAGAAGCAGAGAGGTCGGGACAGATCCTCCGTCAGAGCCTCCAGATGGAGCCGTCCTTGCCAACACCATGAACTGGAACTCTGGCCTCCAGACAGAGAATGTCTTTCTGTTGTGTTAAGCCCCCAGCGTGTGGTGCTGTCAGGGCAGCTGCGGGACACTGCGTGGTGCCAGCTAATTGTGGGTCAGCCTCCTCGGTCAGGAGGAGAGGACGCGGCCTGGTCACGGCCTGTCTGGTGAAAGGCGGCGTTTGGCGGGAGACGCCCCAGCTCGCTCACGTGCAGGACCCTCTCGGGGTCACTGAGGCGAGGATGCCGGCGCCCACTCTGGGATTTCCAGTAACACAGGACCCTGCTCTGCATGCGCAAGACTTTCATCCTCAGGTGCTGCCTCAGGGACACGGGAGCAGAGGGGACGGGAGGGGTGCAGATGTGGTTCCTGAGGCTGGGTCTGCCCACACCCGCCTCTGCCAGTGGTGGTGAAGTGAGCACATTCCCGCATCTCCTCCCCTCTCAGCAGACAGGCTGAGAGCCGAGAGCCGGTTCCTGTGGGTCAGGGAGGAGGCACCGCCATCCCTGGGAAGCCCCAGGGCTGGGCGAGGCGAAACTGAGGATAACGGAATGGACTCTGGACTTTAATGAACGATAAGGGGTTGGTATTGGCTCATTCATTGTTGCAAAGGCACCTCCTGATGTTTGAAATATCAATGATAGGGATGTGAGTGCTGGGGGTACAAGTGCTGGGCTGCATGTGCTGGGGTATGAGTGCTGGGGTGCACATGCTGGGGTGCACGTGCCGGGGTATGAGTGCTGGGGTGCATGTGCTGGAGTATGAGTGCTGGGGTGCATGTGCTGGGGTGCATATGATGCCAGGGGATGGTGACTGTCCAGACTATTTTCTAAATTTCCCTGTAAGTCTAAAACTTCTAAAAAATAAAGTTTATGGCCTGGATGGCGTGGCTCAGTGGTTGAGTGTCAACTTGTGAACCAGGTCAAGGTTTAATTCTGGTGAAGGCACATGCTGGGGTTGTAGGCTTAATCCCCAGAAGGGGATGTGGAGGAGGCAGCTAGTCAATGATTCTCTCATCATTGATGTTTCCCTCTCTCTCCCTCTCCGTTCCTCTCTGAAATCAATAATAATAATAATAATTATATATGTGTGTGTGTGTATATATATATATATATATATAT